AGAAAATTAATCATTGACAAGACCATAGTACTACCGGTATTTTGTATTTTCCTCTTTACAAATACAGGAACCTTTAATAGCCAAAATAGTTTAGTTGAAGGTATGAACAAATCATCCCAGCAAAGATTAACATGTATTGATCAGGTCACTCTGGCTTGGACGTCAGTTCATAATTAATGATAATTTGAAGTGCCATGTGTGAAAAACACCGGAAAATGTCAACCAGATGCAAGAGAGGGTACATTTTAGACAATTCCACGTGCATCTGTTAGGGCTTTGCCGCATATCTGAATATTTGATCAAATATTGAATATTCAAATATTATTTTCCAAATTTGAATATTCAAATGTAAAATTCATGGAAAGGCAGGGAGAATTTTCTCTTGTTTTAATGTGAAAAATCGCACTCTGGACGCTCGTTTCAAGCAGATTCAATGAAAGGCAAAAGATTAAGATTTAAAAAGTAAATTATTCATTGAAAATTAAAAGGAATAGGAATTTTCAACATGTCAAGAAGTATTGTTCAACTGTCAAATCTTGGTAAATCGTGGCTGGAGATAGTTCTATAAGTGAGAAGCTAATTATAGTAATTTTAATGTCCAATTGTGTGTGTTATTGCAACTGATTTTATATGTGGTTTGTTCAATCTGCCGGTCGGCATGACTGAATATTCATATATTTGATTGAATTGAAAGTTGAATATTCGAATAGCAAATCTTCAATTTGACTCAGCCCTAGTGTCTGTACAGGGCAAAATGCCAGCAAATTCTGCCAAACACATTTTGAGGTCAATCTACAAAGCAGGCAAGCCAATTTGGAGCTATCCCTGCTCCTGGCCAGATTAGAAAGAAAATGCCCCATTAGCCAACTGCAGGCGATGTTGACCTCTGGTGCAAGACCCGGTTTCAGCCAAGAGCCAAAGAGTGGGAATCTTCCCCCCCCCCCCTTTTTGTGTGGTTTGTCGTCTGCTGCTGAGTGATGATCTGCTGGGAGAATCCCATGCCTTCTACGCCATCACCAGCCAGGCTGGGAATGCCGAGAATTTCAATCACTGCAATTCTAATATTGAACTCCCCTCCCAGTTCATCTCAGGAGCCCCTTTTTTCTTCTTTTTTATCGCCAAGGCAAATTATAATCCAGTTTAATATGAGCTCAAGCTGTTACACCATTCTATTTTCTTCCCCCTCCCTTTGATGCAGCCTCGTCAAAGTGCAGGTTTTTAAGCAGCATGATGTAAAATATCCTCCGCGCGATTAGTGACCACGTTATGGCTGACATGTCCATTACCACGGCTGTGTCTGACAGGTGTATTTCAATTTATCAGCCATCAGTTTTCCGCTTCATAATGGTGTTCATCTGCAGAAATGGAATCATTCACTGATAGAGGCACCAACAACTCAGTGAAGCTTTCTCAGCCAAAAAAAGACCTGTAAAAGTCAGTCTGATTGACCGAAACACGTTATAATCGTTTTGTCTTTTAAATATTCAGATCTGCTCCACAAGGAAATACAACATGAACTCACGAGAGCGTTGAAAATATGAACAAAAAATTCAGTAACCATGAAATTCCTCTTTTTTTTGCAAAGTTTTCACCAAGTTAAGCTGAACCTTACTATCAGTAGCCCCATGTAATGTAGATAAAAGTGCCTGGTAAAGCATTCATGAGTCTTGCAGTACGTCAGGAACTCATTACATGAAAGAAATCAGTCACCTCTAAGTGCTGTCCATGTACAGGTGTTTATTTATGTACATGTGAAAGTGGCTTCTAATGACTGTGTACAGTCACATTTTCTTGCTGTGAGTTGCAAGTGCAAGCGAATTAATTACTCTCTGTATCAATGCTGCAGCTCTGACAAATACCAAGCTATGGGCAATAGACCGACCATGCTTCCAGGCAATCATGATGAAGACCAGTCTGGTCAGGCAAGCAGATATCGTAGAACTGCTACACAAGTAAGTGAACCGCATTTGGGCGTTCCCTCTGCAAGTCATGTGACCAGACTTTGCTTCCTTTTCATCCATATGGGAGTACCTTACATTGTTGACGACTACAGTTACCATGCTTTTTTCAAACCCACAATCCCTCCCTGAGTCTCACTTACTTTTAAATTGTGTCAGAAAACAAATTTGCTGACCATTTCTTCCTTCATTCCCTACATGTATTTCTTTGGGTCTGTGTAATCGGTTGTTGTTTTTTTAAAGAAGGTTGGGGACCAGACATCTTTCAAGTGGCTTCTTGTTTTGATAAGATCTCTTGTCGAATGTTACTTAGAGAAAATTTATGGACCTCCGGGAAGTTAGTTACTGCCCAGTCGTTTCCTATTTAGAACAATGCTTAGAGTTTCTGTTCCCAAGAGTATGACTGAATCTTTTATGCAATCATTGTGACCAAAAAAAACCTCTCTGTTTTATTTTTAGAGTCGCAATATTCCAGCATTTTCCAGAGGAGACACTCAACAAAATAGCAGATGTTGTAGAAGAGGTATGAAACGTAAACACATGTGACAGCCTGCCATAGGAATCTTCAGGCAGTGAGCATGGGAATTGATAGGTCACAGTTTCAGAAAAGGAATTCAAGGAGATGCATGCAGACCCTCTCCCAGTTTATATTTACTGCCGCTAGTTGTCGGAAATGAATTCGCATAAATATCGCCTTGAATCTGAGGGTTACGCCCTACCATTTTGGCAGAAATGCGGGAAGTGTCGCTAGGGCGTTTCCATGTGTTTGGAGATGTAAACCCACCAAGGCCCATGATGAAAATCTCGAAGGGGTAACCACTGTTCATTAATCATTAACTGACTCAAAGAAAACAAGATGCACTGTGCACGAACATGCAAGTTTGATTTTTTTGGCACAGTTTAACACGAGTATCTGAGCTGTATTTCTTGGGCTTTTCTTCAGAAATACATGTACTTGAGTTGAAATATCCCGCAGTTTGCCTGTGGAAATCTGTGCATGCCTGTGTAATCTCATCCAGTCCTTTTTTGACGATGAGCCTAGGCACTTGTCGCCTAAACACCCATTATCTCCCTGTAATGCCAAGCGCGCCATTAAGTTTGCGTCTCAGACATCAGGCCATCTCTATCCCCATAATTGATCGGCGACCAAAAAAAAAAATAAAGAAAAAGGCAACATTTCCATGGAAGCAGCACACAATAGCGGCCTCTCTTTGCCTGGAGCCGTAAACTGCCGTGTTCTGTTCTGTTCATTCTCTGCGTGGTGGTTGTCATGGATACTGCTACATGTAGAGGCAGCTCATTGGCCGAACCGTTTTCAGCAATGTCATGCAGGCGTTGTTCCACATGAAATAAATGGGCTAAATTTCTTTCTTTGTATGAAAATGCGGAATCGTATCTGACCAGGCTCTTGTTGTGTGCGTGGGTGGATTGACTGCCGTTTCAGCATTTCTGCTCGGCTGCTATCAGCCTGTTTGAAAGCTGAAAATGGCTTATTATTGGACACAATGGCTGCCCTATCTTTTCGCAAGCAATATTTTCTCAACTCAACGTTTGTTTGTATGAACAGAGCCATGCCCAGCTGTTTTGGATATCCAGCCATCACGGTTCTCTCTTACCTTCTTCAATTGAAATGAGATATTGAAAGTAAATAATTTATCGAGTGCTTTCCAAAATGTCTGAGTGTGTAGAGCACAGACTTGATATCTTATGTTGATTGGACAGTGAGGTTGACAAAAGGGAAAAGTGCTGAATACAGACAGGCATAGCCTTTTTGAAAGAGTTGAGTATTTCCGTGGAGCTTTAAATTTGAAGGGTTGTTTTTCGATAATATTTTAAAAGCAGTGCAATGGCTGTTTTAAGTAAATTTATAAAAAGATTTTTATTATTGAAAATAATCGACCAACATCTTTATGTTCTTGGTCCATTTTTTAACAAATATTGATTCCACTTTGGAAAGGTCGTTACCCATGTACTGCATCCCATAAAGGCTATTAGTACTGTAAACACAGAATTGAGATATCGGGTAAACTTTGGTATGTTTTTACTTCAACAGACCTATTACGATGATGGGGACTACATTGTCAGGCAGGGTGCTGTTGGAGATACAATGTACATCATCCAGAAGGGAAAGGTAAAAAAAAAAAGACGCCCACACACGTCAAAATTTGTTTCCAAGCCACTTGTGTTACACTTTTGCCCTCCTGTCCAGTGATGAAAAGGTCCAGTTCACGTATCGTTTCCCGTCTTGCGTCTACGCTTGCTGCATTTCTGCGGTGCTAACATTTATGACGGGCACTGAGCGAATGTTGTAGTCTGTTTTGTACACTGTAGATCGGACATTGAACCTGTGCGTGGGGTTGCAGGTTCTGCAAAGCGCCCTTATTTGGACGACATGGACAAGATGTACAACGGCCTCAGCGGTGGTCGTGCAAAGCCCAAATGGAAGTTCATTAGATCTTTGCCTTTTAAGCACAGGCTGAAGCGGATTCTTGAATAAACTCGCTACCCTCAGTTATTACGAGCAAGCCAATCTTATTGCCATTTAACCTCCAAAGAGCCAAGGTTTTCTGGACCATCTTAGAGATGGGAGGAGGGGTATTCTGTCCCCCCCCCTCACTAGATCTCAGCGCATCAGTGGAAAAAAGCCCGTCAGTGGAAAAAGTACGCATTTGGGTCTGACCTGTCTCTGAATAAGAGGCATCGCACGAGAAAGACGAGTTTGATTTAAACGAAGTAGGTGTCAAATGACTCTGAGTTGTCACTGAAAACTCATTGAAGCTCATCGCCTGATAAAAATGCACTGCGATGATATTAGAGGAAATGTAAGGAGCTTCCCCCCCCCTTTATAGAGTGAATCCGTTAAGCAAGTCTTGGCACTGCTTAGTAATCTGCCTGCCTTGGACCTAAGGGAAAGTTGGACGTACATACGCAATTCAATATTGATTGATACGCTAGTTATTGTGAAGTTGACATGTATTTCATTTTCAAGAGGCTCCCAGCAGTATTCAAGTAAGCAGCCTCTCGTTTGCCCGTGATATTAAGCCAGATAAATTCCTTCCACGGTTCGACAACTTGTCCAATCGATTTCTTGGGACACGCGGACCTCACCACGGAATTCAGCTTCAGAAGTTAGATACATTTGCACAGGTTTTTGAAAATGCCATTGACCACTGCTCACCCTCGCAGCGATGTTTACGCGCCCAGTCTGTCACAAACCGCTCTGGGGAGGAGGGGGATAAGCTGAGAATAAAACTTCTTCAGTTTCGTATTTAGCTTCCTTGTAAGTTTCTGTTCTTTCCTTCTTTTCTTTTGAGGAGACTAGTTGTCATGGAGCAAAGTAGAGATTCACATGAAGAATTCCCACCATTGGTCCCTCACCAATCCTCACTTTGTGATGAAATTTCGAATTCGATTATTGAGAGAGACGGAAGCGAATTCATATTACCTGTGGGAGAATATTGATCAGGATTTGCCGTGGTAATTTTGTGCATGGGAAGCTCAATCTTTCTCAGTGTTTAGAGCCCGAGGTAAGAACCTCTCACTTCCCATGAATTTTCCTACTCACGTGCGCATTGGAAAGAAGCTTCCGCTGTCAAAAGTGCAACGGTTCAAAGTTTTGGACAGTTGATTCTGCTTCATGATACAGGTTTTGTTTCCCAGCAAAAGTCAACAGCTCGTAGACGACAAATTTTGGTGTTGGGCTCTTTCTCCTGCAATAAATTGACAGAGATGTAGTGAACATAATTGCCGGTGTTGACATACCCGAAAGCAAGTAACAAGAAAGCCACAACCAATTTCCAGAGCCGGGGTTTGCTGTGTTGCTCGGTGGGAATGTTTAAGGTAAAAACTTGCGCACATTTGATGAAATACATGCGACCAAGATTCAAGCGCCTTGTGAATCACTGTGAGATATGACAGGGTGACCAACAAACCCACTACAGACCTTTCAGCACCCCAATTGTTCTGGAGCACTCATAACTGATCTGTCCTCTGAGAAATTTCCCCTGCGCGTTAGTGCCGAGAAGCAATTAAAGTAAAACAGCTTGCTTAGGGGCACAGGTACTGTGATCCATTTAGCCTCATTGGGATGGTTCAGTCATAGTTTACAACATTCAACATGACACTCCCCTCCCCACCCTAAAAAAGAGTCAGAACCAGTCAGTTTTGAACTCTCCATACCCAAGTTACTGTCTCGTGAATCACTAATCATGCTCTGTTCTCTCTTTGGCTTTCCGACTTGACAGTGCCATGTGACACAACGACCAGGGTCAGGTGGTAGTCCACGGCTAACCAACACATTAAAGAAGGGAGACTACTTTGGTGAAGGATCGTTAGATGGGTAGGCACAAATTTCGATTGCCCTGGTCAACAAATCTGCTCTCCAGATAGAAAGAAACAACTGCTTATTTGGTTTTTTTGAGTGAGACTTCAATGTTTTCTCAAATTCAAGTATATTTGGTCTTTTAATATTTATTTCTTAGTATGGTTGTAGTGTCCATAAAAACTGTAACTACTTTACGGACTCATTTAATTTCCTGTGTTACCTCAGAAGGTCCTTCATGACCACTTTTTCAAAACTTTAGGTTTGAAAGTGACTTTCTTTTGGCCTTTTCCGCATGTTACTGATGTTCTTGGTAGGTAGCGTTTTATTTTTTTTTTTAAAGTACATTCATACCTTTCTGAACTCTCTCAAACCAGTGTTTGATTCTGTTTACGATTGGCCTTTTTTTTCTGGCACAGGCGAGATGAGAAGAGGGACGCCAATGTGATAGCTGCCGAAAAGGACGGCGTCGTCTGCCTGACCCTGGACAGAGAGTAAGTTTTTTTTTCCCCCTCAACGGGACCCCAGGTTTGGACAATTGCGGAGAAGTGCTCAGAATGGGATGGTTACAGAAATTAACCTGGGGGGGAGGGAGGCTATTCGTGAGATACATGTTGCAACTTTCCAGTGGGAAACCAGTTGATGGAACTTTTAAGTACGGCGACGTTTGTGTTCAATTTCACACTTCTTGATGTTTAAGAAATTTGCCTCTCCCACTGTTGACTGTCACCAAAGTTGGCTATGGTTTATAACTGAGTGGGTGGTTACTATTCCTTATTGCTCCAGTTTATTTTGCAGACACGTGAATAAGTAATGTTTGAAATAGTGTTGATTGACTAAGTCTTTTATTTGTCACCATTTGTGGACTTGGTAGGCACCATGAGAGATCCCGGGTCTTTGGGAACCCTTTTTCAACAGTTTCAGAGATATTCTGCTGGTTACTTGGCATGTAATTGTAGGCCTTGGTAAATAGCAGGTTAGTGGGGAAACACCTGGCTCTGTACTAGAAGTTTGGCGCTCTAAACATTGCATGAGAAATGAATAATCAAAGATGGACAATGTTGGATGTACATGGACATGTATTTGGACTCGCATTTTGGGGTTTCCACCAATATGTCTGAATAGCAAACAACATCTATTTCAAAAAAAGAACTTGACATTTGTTCATGACTGACAAACACCCTGGGTACAGATCCCTAGCTCCATGCTGCAGACTTGTCAAGTCGTGGCGAATCCATTATGCTATATCCAGTAAGCTTCCCTACAAGAGTCTGCCTCAGGGCCTCTGGTAGCACAAATTGAGATACTTTGGGTAGCGTTACCTTGCTGACTTTACCCTGCTGAGACTTTAAAATCCCCCCCTCCACTCCCCTACATATCTAAATCCCGGTTTTTAGGATGCTGGTGGCAGTTAATCCCATTTCAAATCTGGCTTCCATCATTCTCGGACAAGCCGTCGGCGTAGAGAACGTGCTGACACAAACTGAAACTCTTTTTGCCTACCTCGCCTGGGGATCACGGGTGTTCATAATGTTGCTTGTCAGCGGCGAATCTCCTCATTTGAAGCACGGAGCTTTTCCCAGATTAGATGACACTGTATTACATGGAGCAGGTGAAAACATGAAGCTATCCACTGCAAGGATTTGTGTGTATATACGTGTATGTTTGTCTCTGGACAGCGTAGTCCCCCCCCATCATACTTTTTCTCTCAAGACAAAGCAAACAAGCTCTTGTGTGAGTTTAATGACAGCCTGAAAGTCTGTGTCTGGAATCCTGAGCCCAGTTTTGAGAGATTTGACTAACCTAGCAACGTGTAAAACCTTATTGTTGGTATGTCACTCAGTTTGGTACGGTGAAAATGGACGTTGGGGACAAGAAGATGTGGATGTTAAAATGTTGAGGATTCCTAGTGTTTATACACTGTGCAAGATTCTTTCAAAGATCTTTAACTCAGAAGTGGCTCTGGAGACATATGACTCATTTTCACTGAGTGGGTCACATATGACGTTACACTACCTGTTGTAGTGACAACCAGTGAAATGTGGCTGGCTACAAACGTAGTCTCATATGTGACAGAAGTTAAGGACAATATTGGAAAGTTGCAGTTCGTAGCTGGAATCCCGTTTGGCGCTCAGGGCACCATTGAAAAATCAACATCTGTTTGGAAATGCTTGCCAAAATATTTTGTGTTAGAGAACAAGCACTCGACAGTTTTTGTGACTTATCCGGTTGCTCACTATTCAAGTTGGAATTTTCTTCAGCTCATAACATTTCCCCCCTTGTTTTGCTTTGTTCTTACAGCTCTTTCTTGCAAGTCACCGGGGGCCCAGACTCCTTCATCTCCAAGAACATTGAAGACAGCAAAAACAAGAAGTGAGTCCTGGGTCTCAAATCAGCTTTCCAATCTCAAGTGGAGATTAAGAAAAGATGTAGTCAACTACAAGCTCCGTTTGTTTATTCATACAGTTGTCGGGTATTCATGGAATATTTAATGCACACAGCAGAACTCAGCCTTCCCCATGCTCATTTGCACAGGCCAGACGTTTGTGCAAATGTGAACATCCGGTGAGATTGGTTCATCGGCATGTCACTGGCATATACATGAACAGCAGATGAGGGTGGAAGTGGTTTGATTGTAGAAACGCCACCATGTGAATTTGGAGGATGCGTCTTTTGCCGTTTGGCTTTTGTTTTTGTGTAGTTTTTCTTTTTTGTTATGCCGTGTCATCAACTTCTTGAAAGTCTCCAACTCAGTACCCTGAATTCCACATTGATGTTTATCCAGATGAGTGGGTTCCGATAGAGGAGTGGTTGAGCCATTCCTTTGGGACCACAATAAGTTTATTGTCGAACCAAGTCTGCCAATGTCTGCAGCAGTCTGTACATGTATAATGATGTGAAAATCCTTTGACGCTCGCCGTCACGGCTTTCACAGAAGGGATAGGCATGTCGAGTGGAACTGAAAAGAAATGCATTGCAAAAGTTGCCCTGCCCAACCTTTCAGGAGAAGTGAGGATGATATCGAGATGAGCTTAAGCGTATACGCCGGCACAAGTGCGGCATTTTGATGATTAAGGATAATCATTTGTTGAGCAAAGTTCCTGGCGTGTCTCTGAAATATGCGTATCGTAAACAAAGGGGTCCAATGTATTAATCTCATTAAATGATTTTTCTGGTTGGCCACGAGCTTCGTTGGACAATACTGGATGCTGCAAAATGACTTTACTTAAGAGTTAAAACATTTAAAGTGGTGCTGTTTATAAACAGACCCTTGAGCCTCGTTCTTGTCATGCAGTGGTACTCGGGCATAATCCTCTGTGTGAAGATTTTGGATGGAGGTTTTGTATAGATAAACAAGGTCTGTTAAAGTTTCTTTTGAGCAAGCTAGCTAGACAGGCACTACCCACAGGTCCTGCATGATAGAGACTGCATTGAATAGTCGTTGGGGCTTTTTCATTGATCAGGGTCGATTCCGAGTTTGCTGACATCCGACTACAAGACATCGGGGTCATAGCCACGTTGGGTGTAGGTGGTTTCGGCCGAGTAGAGCTGGTAAGTACCAGGGTCTCAGTTTGTAGCTAATCCCCCTAAACCTCCTCCCCGACCCCCCCACCACAAATAAATGATTTCAATTCATCCAGACCCAAAGAACTTGGCCATTGAGCCCATTTTTATTCTGCTAAAGTCGACCTTTTTATCCTTGTGTCTTTAGACAGCGAGATTGCTTTTGGCCGTGTAACCTTTTACAAAACCATTGTAAAAGTAAACAACCCCTTCACAGTTTACCGAGGTGTGTTTCCTGTTGACTCTCTGAAAAAAAGAAAGGCTCATTTCTGTTGGGCTTTTCTCCACATTTGTTTTTACACTGGCTTGTTCAGAAACCAGTTTTAAAAAAGCCAAAAGTTGCATAGAGTGACACTGTAGTTTATATCCAGCTTGCGTTGTCTAGATATTTTCTGCATGTGCTTATCAGGACACTACATAGAAACCTTTAATATGACATGGAGTCAATTGGCTCTCTTTTCCTGTTCAGAATTAAACCTTATCAGCAGTGTCAGTATCAGAAATTAACTTCATCGAGTGCACCAATTTTTTTTCTCATATTCTTCACATCCGGTGTTGGGCCGATGTCATTTCTCTGAGTGGAGGTTCCCGTTCTAGCTTTGCTCATTACACTTGCTTATCTGGCACAGTGGGTTTAAGAACTGACTGAGACGACACTGTAAAAACATGGATGGGACAGGCAGGCAATAACTCGAGAAAACACGGGCCTAAAGGATAAAGCTCTTCTTACGCGTAGAGTGCCAGGTTTCTCCCGGGAATCAAGTCAAATTGAAGGGAAAAATTAGATAAACATGGCCAGCTGATGAGGAATGTCTCTCTGACAAATATGATAATCCAAGCGACCTGAGACTTCCTTCAGAAACTCTTCCTTGTGTACTGACTAGATTGACTGTTCTACTTGAAGGTTAAATAATTCAGTGTAGGCGACTGGGACGCCATAAAAATGGCCGAAGTGTCGGAGGGGTCGTCTTAATTGAGAAATATCTGACGGAAGTTCCTCTCCACCTTGCCAAATTTATATTTTGGCCAACAGAGACTGGAAAGGTTTGCAAGGGTTCTTACCTGATAATCTGGCAAGATGAAGAGTGCATTTTTGACTTATCGGGGCTGTAGTGTTGAGAATTGTCATAGCATCCATGAAGCTACGACTCCTGCGGACTGTCAGTCTCTCGGAGGAATCGATTCCTCAGAAATGTAGAATAGGAAAGGGGAGAGTTAGAACTACCATTCAGCAGAAGAAAGATTGTTCCTTTTAATATTAAGCCACAATTACCGTATGCATGGCAGAGTTGTGAGATGCCCTCAGGCACACACGCCAATGCGATTTGTTCACTGCTTTCACTTCAGAAATCTCCTTATCCTGATGGGGTATGTTTGTGTACGCGGTTCGCGATGCTAGGAAAACCAGTTGCCACTGCCCCCCCCCCCGATGCCCCGGTGCGCTTAAGTCTTAATAGCAGCATCTCTCTGCGGTTTTATCCCTGCCCCCCAGGTTCGAGTCAACGGGAGAAATCAGACCTACGCCCTGAAGCAGCTGAAAAAGAAGCACATTGTGGAGACACGGCAGCAGGAGCACATCATGTCAGAGAAGAAGATCATGATGGAGGCCCGCTGCAATTTCATCGTCAGGTGAGGAGGGGGCAGAACCCGGACGTGAGCGGCGCTGGTGAACCGTTCTTGGTCAGACCTTGCACGGTTCTTTGTAAATCTGTGCTTGTCTGTTTTGTCTGAATACAGTACTGCTCTTGCTTTCCTGTTTTGTCGCTGGCATATTTCACTCTCGCTCTGTTCTCCTCATTGCAATGTTTATCCGACCATACACACAGGGTTCCCATGGTCATGGAGAGTTCTTTAAAATCCTGCTGAAAAAGTTGCCCTAGAGAGTCATGGAAAATTGGCCAGTTCGCTCTGCCCCTCTGTAGTTTTCTTTGCACTTGTCTGCTTTGTTCATCCGTTTGATTTGAGCTTTTAAATTAACTGAATGAAGTCATCTTGTTTTTGTCCTGTTCTCCAGATTATACCGTACATTTGGCGATAGCAAGTACCTCTATATGCTGTTGGAGGCGTGTCTAGGAGGGGAACTGTGGACCATCCTTAGGGACAAGTAAGTCGTCCCTGACAGAAAAAACTTTGGATTACAATTCACGATGCTTTAAGGTGCCTTTCCGTGTGCGAGTGTTCTCCTAGGCGCATCCATGTACCGCATTCCACTCCTGCGCATTTGAATGAACACTTTCCACAAGTGAAGCATATGGACCATGGCGTGCACTGAATGCGTCCCTCTGGGGGAAGGCATCATCAGTGTAGATGGAATGTGAAATGAGTTGAAGCTGAGTGTGTTGAGGGCTTGTTGTTTTTTATAA